TGACATTAATTTTTAGCTTACTAGGCAATAAATCTAATTAACTAAAAAAAACTGCCTTATGAAATAATTTGCATTAATGTATATTTTAGTCTTTACTTACCCATGTTGAGCAAAATCAGTTTAGATTTTTTTATTATTTTTTTATTATTATTAGTTTGCTTATTGCTTTCTGAAATATGCTTAATGTTACATCAGGTTAAAAACATGTTTGAGAAGCCAAATGTCTCAGAAAAAACTGACAGGTTTGGCTTTGATGAAMATTCATAGAAACATAACTATTGACACATCAAAAGTTGTAGAAAGATTTTCAAAGACCAAACGAAAATTGGATTTTGTTATTTAAATATTATTTTATTATTAAATATTTAATATAACTATTATTATATTATGTGGTTATTATAATATGCTTTTATATTTATATGTACCTATGTCCTATGTCAAGTTATTTTATTTAGTATATTGTTGATGTTGTTTACAATAATTAATGTTATGGGTTATGAAAGTGGGTAGGAATCAATTATTTTGAAAAGCAAGCGAAACGATCGAAAAATTTTGATCCGCCAATTTATTTATAATCTGTACACTGTCGTTTATGTACAAATTTTTTTAAAAGAACCTATGATTTGAGTTCAAATTTTGCCCTCCCCTGGAAGAAGAACTGAATACGCCCCTGTAGGTAGGTAGGTTTAGAACACACGTCAGAACATCATTGTATGCGTTGTATGCCAATATCATACCTAGGTTCTAATAAAACAATACTCATATATATATATATATATGTTATTTTTTCAAACAAAGACTAAAAGCCAAAAATCATTCGTTTGGAATTTTTTTCTGATATCTATGCGACTGAAGGTGCATACTCGACATATAGTATAATTATTAAACTGCATATTATTGCGAATCTCAATACAGCCGTGTTACGAATATTTTATTATGTGCACTATGAGATGTGAAGTACAATAACAATTTTTGAAACTCGTGACAGTCAACGCTTCGACTCGAGTGCGTACAATGTAATATTTATAATGGAGAAAATTATTATAATGTGTGCGTATATTATATAAAGGTACGAGAAGACGGTTGGGAAAAGAAAAAACCGATTAAATTCGTCACCCGCTGATACCGCACCGATTGTTTTGAATGTTTCGATGCATCGTTTATTATATACATAATATTATGCATACTTGTATGTATTTTAATTTTTCATCAAGGACCATCCATGGTAGCAGAGGTCGCGTGCCTGTCGCATGAAAACAACGAACAAGCGCGAATATTTTATGAAATTAATATTAGTAGTGTGTATTTGTATGTTCACAGCCAGCTTTTACGTGGTAAAAAAAAATTGTTCAAGTGGAAATGTTCGTCTCCGAAAACACCGATTTACCGCGTAACACAATACGATGATTACAAAAAATTGTCCGTCTATTTGCCCGTTGCACAAAAATATTTACCGTATCAACTATTTTAGATTCTGAACGGAGTGATGAATGTATTGATTTTACAATGATGTGTGTTTTTTGGTTTTTATGTTATTTTTTTTTTTGTGTGTCTGTGTACAGTATAACTAGTCGAAATAAAGCTTCAATTTCAAACTTTGGGGATGGTTTCCGATGGAAAATTGAATATCCTTGATGTATATAGAAGCCAAAAGTAAACATTTTCCAACAGTTTTCAAAAAAATCGAGAAAAACAAAAAAAAAGTCACAGAAAAACGGTAATTTTTACGCAAAACTAGTTTTCGACCAAACCGATTTTTTATATGGCTGTAATTCAAAAACTAATTACTGTAAATACTTGAAATTTTTACCAAATGTTTATGTTAATATTATCTATATACAGTTTAATTTTCAAAMATTTTTGACTTTTTTGAGTTATTTATAGACCACTGACATTTTCGATTTTTATGAGAATTTTTTTTTGAAGTGTAAAACTTGAAAATTTAATACAAGGTTCCTTATGAGTTGTTCTTATTGTAGCTAAAATCGTTAGTCACAATTTTTTTTTATAAGCGTTTATAGT